CACCTTAGTCCTTAGACCGGCCCGGACCCTCCCAGGCCAAGGCCAGGAGCGGGGACTCTGCGTGGCCCCTGTCCTGGGGGAGGGAGTCCCCCCCAGTCCTCACGAAGGACCTCTCCTTCCCGCCAGTCGGCCTGGGATCTCTGCCTGTGCTGAGCCGAGCCAGAGTCCAGCAGCCCCAGGCCAAGGCCTGCAATCCCCGAGACCCCGCGGGGTAAGCCAAGGGACTTGGGGCTTAACAGCCATATTGGGGCCTCCGAGCCCCGAGTGCAGGGGCGGAGCGGGACAGGGTCTGTTGGACCCCTCTTTCCAGGGGAGATGGGGCTGGGGGGCTGTCGGGGACGTGCCCCCACGGTTGTAACCCGGGACTCCTGGGACGTCGACCCCTAACAGCCCGTGGGACCCCTGTCCCTGCTCACCCTAGGCGGGAGCTGTCCGACAAGGCCTCACTGCCCACGGCGTGGTTAGGAGGAAGTTCTCGAGGGCCACGAGGGCCACTTCCGGTCATGTGGGTCTGGGCCCCCAGGAGGACCCTGGAGGGTGGGGGCGGGCTCTGTGGGCGGGGTGGGGAGTGGGGGGATAGTGTGTGGTGTGCTGGGTTGTAGGGGAGAGTCCCGCAGGATTAGCAAGGGTGTTGTCACTGACTCTTAGCAGGTGGTGTGAATTCTCCCTCTGCCGTGCTGAGTGTGCTGGCCTCAGACCAAGGGTCTCATTTCGTTCCCAGCCTCCAGTAGGAAGTATTTGGGGGTGTGAGCTTAGCTGCCATGCCTGGAGCCCTGCACACATGATACCACAGGTACTCTTTTGAGCCCCGGTTATGTGGTCGGTGCACCCCTCATTACTCTCTCAGTGTCTCACTTCACCTCTAGTAGGTCCTTGGCTACCTCCAATCAGCTGACCTAAGGCCGACTCTTCACACCAAAGAGTTCAGATCTGTGAGCCTCCTGATTTGAATTCCAGGTACACCTCATCAGGCTGCGCCTGCCTGAGGCTTCCCAGACATGGCTGTCATAGGGTGAAAATCCTGTGGGGTCCCTTTTCTGGGTGGAGGAGCCCATCGGGTTTCATTCAGGGAACTTGCAGTGAGTTAGAAGGTCTAGAATTCCTTTTCTCACGTCATACCTCCCCACAGCCCCATCAAGGCCCTTAGGAGTCCCGTGGGAAAATGGGGTGCTCCTTAGCCTGACCACCTTCCTGGGGCTTCTTTTAGTTGACAGCATTCTCATCACTCAGAGTTTCTGGAATGAATTTCCATCCTTATGTGCAATTACTGTGATACTTGCTAGTCTCTGTTTTAGTTTGTGCCTTGTACCTTTTGTTCTCTTAAGATGTTAATGAAGGCCAGTCCACATTCAATGGCAAATTTTCAAGTGGTTATCAGCACAGCCTGTGGACTCACACTGCTACAACCAACCCATTCTTTAATATAGTCCTAATAGTATCCTTTGGTTCTTGCACTTAGGCTCTGAGGAGCTCCTCAGGTACCTTTATTGAAGCTGTAGAAATTCACTGTCCCAGTGAATACTGGAAGAACCAAGGGCTGACCTTGAAACCTTCCCTCTAGTCAGTCCTGTCATTGGCCTCTCTTGCAGGCTAGTACCATTCTCAATCACAGAGCAGGGCTCCACCTGCCCTCACAGAGGCTCTAGTTCAACACAGAGTTAGTATTCCTCAGGAGCTTATCGTTTTTGTTGTTTTGCTCTTGTTGATATCAGTTTTTTATTTCTCTTTAAATTTTTTAGGGTTCATTTTGATTATGGGCAAAGCAGCCTGAGTTGGTGACATATTTGTAGCTATAGGTAAGGCAATGATTCTGTAAATATGTTAAAGAGAATTGACATCTTTACAATATTCTCTTTTATATGAATAAACATAGTAAATTGCGTTTTTCGAAAATTCTTGTTCATAAGTCTTTCAATAATTTTTAAAAATTTTTTATTTAAATTCAATTTAACATACAGGATATTATTAGTTTCAGAGGTAGAATTTAATGATTCATCAGTTGCACATAACCCCCAGTGCTCATTCCATCAAGTGCCCTCCTTAATGCCCATTCTCCCACCCACCTCCCTTCCAGGAACCCTGTTTGTTTCCTATAGTGAAGAGCCTCTTATGGTTTGTCTTCCTCTCTGTTTTCATCTTACTTTATTTCTCCTTCCCTTTCCCTGTGTTTGTCTGTTTTGTTTCTTAAATTCCACATATGAGTGAAATCATACGGCCTTTGTCTTTCTCTGACTGACGTATTTCACTTAGCATAATGCACTCTAGCTCCATCCACGTCATTGCAAGTGGCAAGATTTCATTCTGATGCCTGAGTAATATTCCAGTGTGTGTGTGTGTGTGTGTGTGTGTGTGTGTGTGTACATACACATACCACCTCTTCTTTATCCATTCATCTGTTGAGGGACGTCTGGGCTCTTTCCATATTTTGGCTATTGTGGACATTGCTGCCCCTTCAAATCACTATGTCTGTATCCTTTGGATAAATATCAGGTCGTAGGGTAGTTCTGTTTTTAACTTTTTGAAGAATCTTCATACTGATTTCCAGAGTGTTTGCATCAGTTTGCATTCCCACGAACAGTGTAAGAGTGTTCCCCTTTCTCTTCATCCTCACCAACATCTGTTGTTTCCTGTGTTATTAATTTTAGCCATTCTGATTGGTGTAAGGTGGTATCTCATTGTAGTTCTGATTTGTGTTAGTCTATCAGTACGTTTTTATAGTTATCTCCTAAAGAACTTGTAGGTGTCTGTTTGGTTTTGTATTAGGTATATCTTGGATATTATTGTTGTTTTCAGTAATATGTTTTCCATTATATGTTGTAATTTGTTAGTTATTTTGTTTTATCAGATTCCTTAATTTGCTATGTTGATCTTTTATACCACATCTTTCTGAAGTTGCTTATATGTCTTAATAATTTCTGTACCAATTACTTGGAACTTTTTAATTAATAGATCATATTGTTACCATTGTTTCCTCTTTCTTTTCATTATTCTTTCCTTTTATTTACTTTGGTATTCATATTCTTGTATAATAGTTGTGTACTGGGTATGTATTTTCATCCAGTTGTAGACAGTGGATTTGATATCATACGTCTTTGTTTTCTTGTCAAAACTATTGGGTATGTTTGCAATAGTTCCCATTTAGTATATTTATTATAGATTTTAGAAAATGGAAATTCTTTCTTTCTTTCTTTCTTTCTTTTTCTTTCCTTCCTTCCTTCCTTCCTTCCTTCCTTCCTTCCTTCCTTCCT